TTCCCAACTTGCCTCAGACCGATTACATTCAAACTTCACGCAAACATCATACTTCTTAAAAACATGCAAGTTAATTCAATTCGCGATTCGATTTCTGATTGCTGAATGTGTCCATTTTTGTACTAAAATTCATCAAAATCACACATTTGACATTCTGAAACCTGATTTTGTTTAAACTCAGTACAAGACATTAGTTAGACATTATGGCACCTTGACTCACATCGTTCAAACTGGCCTAATCAAAACGTTTTATATATGAAATACGTCATATCACACATATTCATATCTATTTGCTTTGTGTCAACATGGTTGAAATGTAGGCATTTTAATGTTACAAATTCATCAAAAAATTCATTTCTGCCTTTCCAGGTCTCAGTCATGTATGGATGGATGGATGGATTTTGTTCAAACTTGTTATATACTCTGATCATTTTGGAATGCCCATCTGTGTGTTTTAACGAATGCTGCTCGGCCATTTTCTTTTGATAAATTGTATTAAAAATGGCTGACTGGTGGCTATTTTGTTAAAACAAATGCCATTCTAAAGCCATATCTCTGACATGGCTTGACAGTTCATGTTCAACTTTATATCTCTTAAACTTGATAATTCACTGGGTCAACACAATACAAATACTTGTTTATTTAATAAGGTTTGGAGGGTTGATCCTGATGTGTTCTTGTGTAATGCCATTCAGTTGTTCGACATTCAGTAGCAACATTTTATATTAAATTAAGACCAGATATTAATAATTTGTTTGGTTTGACCGTTTCAGAGGATTTCATATTTGAAAGCGTTAATAATTATGAGTACCTGAGCAATGGTCATGTGCCAGTACCTGGCGTTGATGATCACCAGGAATTTGCCAACTCTATGGAAGCATTGAGGATTATGGGATTGAATGATGATGACATTGGATGTAAGTATTGTAGCTATTAAAAAGTTAGCAGACTTTTTCATACTGTAACATATGAAGCTGGGCGTTATCACAATACGAGGGCATTATCCACAATACGAGGGCAGTATCCACAATACGAGGGCATTATCCACAATACGAGGGTGTTATTACAATATGAGAGGGTGTTATTACAATATGAGAGGGTGTTATTACAATACGAGAGGGTGTTATTACAATACGAGAGGGTGTTATCACAATATGAGTGTTATCACAATTCGAGGGTGTTATGCACAATACAAGAGGGCATTATCACAATACGAAGGCGTTATCACAATACGAGAGCATTAATGCCCTGCATGCCTATTTTGTGGGTAAAGGTACAATGCTGAAAAATTCTTGTTCAATTATCCATGGAAGAGACTACAGATTGGTCAATTAGTTGTATTAATACAACATTTTTCTTCTACCTCCAGCTGTATTGAGAGTTGTATCTGCTGTTTTACATTATGGCAATATAAAGTTCAAACAAGAGAGGAGTTCAGATCAAGCCACTTTACCTGACAACACCGTAGCCCAAAAAGTGTGTCATTTACTTGGCTTGAATGTCACTGATTTCACCAAGGCTCTTCTCAGACCAAGAGTCAAAGTTGGACGTGATTTTGTACACAAGGCACAGACAAAAGAACAGGTAAGAAATTTAAGATTTAATTAATTTTATGTCCACCTTATTATTTCAAAGCAAAAGTTTTGTATATTTTTAGGTATTTTTCTTATAATTATTTTGATAATTTAATAGTTTCCCAATGGCTACAGGTCCTAATCAAAATTTGGGAAAAAATATGAAAAAAAATTTATTTATATGAACAAAGTTAAAGACTAAAAAAGGGGTTATAAATCCTGTATTTGTTGTCTTACTCTTACTTGTATTGTTATTTATATTTGGGCAATGTTGCTGAGGGTTATTCACGACACAGCTAAAAAAAAATGATTTTAGCTCACTGACATTCTTGTATCCAGATGTAGAATGGACATGTTTACATGTTGAAGAATGTTCAAGTTTGTTGTGTTGCATCAGGGAATCATGAAAGACCATTGTTACGCTATTAATCTTTTATTCATCCCTGTTCTATTATAGTCCGAAAATTGGGACTTATTTACACATCTGTGCAGTCGTACCTGTATCTCAAACAGGTCACTTGCATTCAACCTCCATACACACATCAAACATAAACACAGACATTTGTTTCATGGTCGAATTCTAGATGGCCATACGACGACCATTTTTAGTGCAAAAAATTCATCAAAATTGATCATTTCTGCCATTCCAGTGCTGGATCGCAGTTGTGCAAATTACATTAAAAATTAGTACATATTAGTCAATGATGACTTGTTGAGATTTATAAATTGATCACAAATATCTTGTTTTTTGTTTGTAGGTTGAATTTGCTACACAAGCACTGGCAAAGGCTTTGTATGAACGCATGTTTAAATGGATAGTACACAGAATCAATCGATCTCTTGATAGAACCAAGAGACAAGGAGCATCATTTATTGGTATTTTGGATATTGCTGGTTTTGAAATCTTTGTGATGAATTCCTTTGAGCAGATATGTATTAATTACACTAATGAGAAACTGCAGCAGCTGTTTAACCACACTATGTTCATCCTGGAACAGGTAAGTCTTGCAGCATGACAGTTGCTTTCAATCCGATTGATGGTCACATCAGTACTGTTATATGCTTGACTGTATACATTCTATCACATCTCATTTGAAAATGAAAAAAATACACTACAGCATTTGCTCTATCAGAAGTGCATCTCCAATGGAAGTGCACTTAAACCAAAAATTGTGTTTATTATATGCTGGAACATAAATACAAATTCATTTGACCATAGACCTCTGACGGTCACATGAGCACATGTACTACTAAAAAAGAAATGCAGTACATGTACCCACATCATTTGCACTTGCTCGTTGATCGGCAACAGTGACATTAATTAAATCTTACAAAATATTGCCTGATTACAAAATATTTCAAAAATAAATACTATAAATTGTTAATAATGATATGAATTATAACTCATTATTATGGTATTGTAATAATTACAGGAAGAGTACAAGAAGGAAGGAATAGAATGGAAGTTTATAGACTTTGGACTTGATCTTCAACCATGCATTGACCTTATTGAAAAGGTGAGTCACTTATGGTGTGCTTTATTGCTGCGATTCCAGTATATGTGGAATTCCACTTGTGAAAGTTTTCCATTTTCAATGTATTCGCTGTTGATCTAAACACACCAAGAGTTGATATTTTCTGCCATGACTGGTGTATAGATGCAAAGCAGCAATAGAAGTACATCCCATATTATTGTGAGGTTTATGATTATTGTTGAACCTTTACGTCGGAGTGGGATTACAAGTATATTGAGAAGACTTGCCTTTGTGGATCAGAATACGATATGCAATGTTTCCACTGAAATCTGTGATAAACGATCATACTTCCAACATGAGTAAAACACCATTGACAAGATTCAGGAATTCCTAGAGATCAAAGGATGCAGTTTCAACTCATGCATCAAAAAATTGCAGACATAACTTCACATTGCATGTTTGCTTGTTTTGTTTAATAACATGGAAATTTATTTCTGTGTTGGCTGTAAAATTTTAACTTTTTTTAGAACAAAATAAGACTTCCTTGATTAATGCCAATGTTACATTATATGTATGATATTCAGTTGTGTATACAGTTGTATATGTGTTTATCTTTTTAGCCCATGGGTATCTTAGCACTGCTTGATGAAGAATGCTGGTTTCCCAAGGCAACAGATAAAACATTTGTAGAAAAACTCATGAATACACATTCCACTCATTTTAAATTCTGTAAACCTGATATAAGAGAGAAAGCTGATTTCCAAGTTATTCACTACGCAGGAAAGGTGAGTTGACATTCAATTTCTGCATCATTCAGATTCTTGTACTCAATTCCTCTTTCAGGGCCCAATATTTAAAGTAGCCTTCAAGATGCTTCCCTTAATACCTCATTCCTCTTCAAAATAATTAAATATTTTTTTTAGCTCCGCTGTCGACTTTGTCGAGCGGAGCTTATCATATGAGTGATTGTCCGTCGTCGTCGTCCGTGTCAATGTTTTACTTTTTTGACTTCTTGAAAACTACAAGCCTGAATGCTTTGATACTTGGTGTATATGTACCTTGGGTAGACCTCTCTTATAGGTTTGTTCATTTCATGTTGATATCTTCAATTTTGGTGAATATTTTTGTCATTTTTGGTAAAAAGTGATATTTTCGACTTCTTGTAAAAAACCAATAGTCTGATTGCTTTGATATTACATATATAGGTACTACATGTGGACCTCTCTCAGATTTGTTCATTTTGTGATGATATCTTCAATTCTCTAATTTTGGTGAATATTTTTGTAATTTTTGGTAAAAAGTGATATTTTCGACTTCTTGTTAAAAACTGTAAGTCCGATTGCTTTGATACTATACATATTGTTCATTTTCTAATGATGTCTTCAGTTCTTTAATTGAAATGTGCATTGCTAACAGCGGAGCTATCTCAACCGATAGGCTGCTTGTTTATAGATTTGTTGACTTTGAAATTGGGACCCCTCAGAATACAAAGTTTTCTTGGTATTCTGATCCATTCATCAACTGAAAAAAAAACACATCTGCGACGATAACACTTCAAAGTACATGTCTGACATGACCTTTAACAATACATCTCTTGCATTATCCACCAATTGATGGTAGAGGGCGATATGAATAAAGACTTCTCTATTATTGCATGGAATATAAACTTGACATTTGTAATTTTGAAAATGACAGAATTGATTTAAAAAACACCCCTACTCTTATAAAGTCCAAAAATATCAACTATCTTGAACTTTTTTGTCAGGTTGATTATTCAGCCAAACAGTGGTTGCTGAAGAACATGGATCCTTTGAATGACAATGTTGTACAGTTGATGACAAATTCTACTGATCCATTTATAAGTGGTATCTGGAAAGATGGTAAGTCTCGTCTTTTAATGTTAAAATTGTCATCACTTTTTCTCCTGTATATAATAATTCAACATCCATGCTCACCAATTTGTAAGTTTATTTGTATTCTTTGGTGAACATGATGCATTAAAAAAGTCGTCATAGCCAAATCCTCCTCACATAATCAACAAAATTTTGTTTTCATAGCAACCATTGTTGGCATGGCAGCTACTATGAGCAATGATTCGGCATTTGGTTCCAGAACACGAAAGGGCATGTTCCGTACTGTTGGTCAGTTATACAAAGAGCAATTATCTCGATTAATGGTGACACTGAGAAATACTAATCCTAACTTTGTGCGTTGCATCATTCCAAATCATGAGAAACGGGTAAGTTTCAGTTAAAAATGTTGATTTAAGGGAACTGATCATTACCACCAAGCCGGTTTCCTGTGAGTCTCCTGCAGCATGCGTTTCTTTACCGTACCGGCTGCTG